CTTAAAAGTACCAGGAACACCAAGCCTGGTCTTCTCCATTTTACTTGGAGGATCTCAGAAGCTTCCTGATCTTTGTCCTGGCTATTTACTCACAGAGCAAGGTGCTAAGACTTTATTTGAGCCTCTCTAGAACCTCCCTCTGCCCCTGAGTTTAATAATTTGTATTAAATACACTTTGCAAACGAAGAGTGTAAGAAACAAACAACCCAAAACCACACAAACAATGCTCCTTTCTAGCTCCTGAATAACCTTACACTTCCGCTGCCACCACCTCACAGGTTACAGAGCCACATAACATACACACTGGAGGTTTTATTTTCATGGTCAGTTACTAGGAGGAAAGCAAATTAAAAACGAAAACTTTTCAGGAAGACTACTTAGATTTGAACTTTGAGACAGGGAGTCTTTGTTACAAAAATGACCAGGCAGGGCACTAGAGAGACTGTGGTTGGTGCTATCATGGTACAAGTGAAAACAAACAAGTGACCAAACCATTTTCCTCCAGGATGACATTTTTGTTTGCTTCATGGCAAGAGCATCTCAAGTCTGTTGGTACTAAACCAAGAGATTTTTTGGGTGGATATCCTAATCAATGCTGGGCCACTTAGCTGCTAATCAAGTTATGGAAATATTCCCAAATTCACACTTCATTCACATAATGGAGAAGAAGAAAAGATAGGTAAAGGAGTCTCAGACCATACAAATGAGAGAGGACAGGTTTCCCCCTCTGAATTCTGTGTGAAGATCCCTGCTGTTTGCTGCCAGGAGACCACCAATGAGCAGCAGTGCCTCTGTGCAGCCAGCTCCAACAGGAAGCCCAGTGACCTGCTGTCCTGCCTCCCCATGAGAGCTCTCACACACCCTTCACATCTCAGGATGAAGGTCTTCCTCGCCAAACTCCCCACATCAGAAGGACCGGGCAAAGAAAATAAACAGGGAGGGAAAAAAGCAACGGGGAGGCTTCCTGTTCTCACAGGCTGCCACCACTGCTGTTCATTTTCCCCTCACCAGCCTGTGGCCCAAGGAAGGCAGCGCTCACATCCGCCTGGAGCCGGCGATGCCCCGTCAGATATTCCAATGCAGCAAGGGAGTGCAGAGCCAGGGGAAAGGCTGACAATTGGAGAGGATTTAACAGCATTTCACCTTAAGCTTGAACTCAAAACTGAGAGGATACTGATAAAGCTGTTCCTAGCAGTTGTCATAGGCAGCCACTACCTTGGGCTGCAGCCTCATCTACATACAGGAGAACAACAGGTCAGGCCTAGCGAGTGCTCAGATGGAAAACCAGCCACTGAAATTAAGCTGTTGAAGGAAATGTCACTTGTGATAGGAAACGATGTTTCCACCACATTAGCACCAAGCCAATGGTTCAGTTTGATTTAAGAATTGTACTTAGGGAAGTACAAGCTTTTAAAAGAGGTTTCAAACCAATATCCTAACCCATTGTGATAGCTGAGGATCACTTTCCATAACAGAAGAGGTATAATAGCTCTAACATCCTGACCCAGTTCTGGTGTGTGCAATTACCTCCTGCTTCCATAAACTCTCTCTCCTCCTCTCTTCCCTTTAGTGGCAGCTAAATAAGGTGTTCTTGCTCATTTTGCTTCCTGTTGGGGAACAAAATTATTCTGTGCAGCTGCCAAATTCTGCCACGGAAGTGCCAGTATTCGGCACTCTAACAAATCTCAGATATCATGTCTAATACACTTGGACATGAAAAGCACTAGAGCAATATAATATAGGCCTTGGCTATATACAAAATGAGCTGGCACAGTCAGCATGCAACAACCTTCTGGAAGAAGAATATGTATTCTTGATGAGTTTGTCTGTATGTAAAAGCTGTATCAGTGTAGCTGTACCAGTCATTTTCCATTCTGAGACCAGCTCAAAGTACCTCAGAGCTGTTTGTCACAGCTCGGGAAATGAAGCAAAGAAGTCTTGGTTCACTGCATTTTAGGCAGGCGCTTGCATTACAAAAAGAGAAATACCATTTTGTTGGCAGACCTAACAGAGGGCTGAAAAACTGAATAGTCCCAAGGGAATAAGCTCTCCTCACCAAAAGATCTAGTTCTCATCTCAGTTAGCAGTGTTACACTATGTTACACCAATGTTCTGTCATTTTCCCTTTACCACGGGCTTTGTCCCTGCCATCAGCCTAGCTCTGGGAAAAGAAAGGGTATCCTACCATTCCTGAATGGCCATTAGGCACCCACAGAGCAAACCCTGAATTCTGAGAACAGTCTCAGAGAGCTCTCCAGCTCCTTACAGGAGTGTAACATAGATCTAGTAGTGCAACACTTCAGCAACAGAAAGCACCTTTTTAGGCAAACCATATATAATCATTATACAATAATGATTTAGCACACATGCTCCCCGGGTCCTATGACCACAAAAAGTCCAGCAAGTTGGCCCTCTGGTGGGGCAGACAAGGAACAAGGGGGCTGCACAACCACCCAGAGCTTTGGTTTATGACAAAGCAATCACACAACACCAGAATTCTGTGAGAAAGAGCCTCAACACGAACCCTATCTCACTTGTTTCAGTACTGCTGCTCATGCATGGTGACAACAGAATGCTTCAATACATGGGAAAAGATACAAAATAAACTCTGTTCTGGAGACCTAAGCATTCTCAAGTGGCCAAAGTGAGGACTCAAACCAATCACATATTTCCACTGGCAGGAATAAAAACTCCAGTAATCTGGAACATCTGGGTATAATTTAACCACTAGAGGGTGTAAAAACAGCACAGTGAAAGGTTTGCAGCCAGCAATTTAACAGCATTCAGAGCCTGAAGGAATGAAAAAGGCATTCAAACAAATGAAGGAGGAGTAGGATGCTACATAAAGTGAAAGAAAGAGCAGAATTTGACTACTGTGGTCACAGGATGAAAAACCCTGAAAATAAGTTCTGCTTTGTTACTCCTCCTTAAGAAAACAGTGTGGGGAAAAAACCACAGTACAAATACTTACAGTAAAGTAGTGCAATGGGGACGAGCACGATACACTGACTTACCCTCACCAGCTCAAATCCAGCTCCTAATTTGAGGAAATCCAACACAATTGGTCCTGTATCTCATAATCACTTTGTTACAAGGTTAGGACGCCTATACATATTCCCACATCACTTCCTCCTTTCCCAGTGCAAAAAAGCAGGTGATGGATCAGCCATTGCTGATCTCCCAGCCTGTGGCAATAGAAGACTTCTTTTTCTGCTGCTATCAAGTTAAAGGCTCGCAATCAGATTAGCTAAAAGCCTTGAAACCTCATTAGTGAAAACCAGATCTGAATTTAAGCTGCTTCAGGGACACAAGCAAGACAGAAGGACAAATACTTACTATGGATCAAAATGTCATAGAGAGCAGGAAGAAAAACCAAATTAAACAAAAAACAGCCAAAAAATATTTTTACAAGCATTTGCTAAATGAAAACGCACAAGTTAAACTGCAGCTGTTTGTCCTCCAAGAAAAAGCTATCTGCCATTTGAAATACATGCACACTTGCTAGCATTCATTACTCCCCATGCTCACCCATACAGAACTCCCCAGGGCTACCCCAAGCTGTAATTCTCATTTCACATCCTGGCTGTAGCGTACCTTCCCATGCCCATCTATGCTGATCTAGCAATCTGCCAGCAATAGCAGTTCTGGACATTCAAATCAGAAGAGTTTTTATGGGATGAGAAACAGGAAACCTGTGAAGTGGGATGCACTGGTAGGCATCAAAACACCCCTAAACAGGTAGGTAAAGTGAAGCACCAAAATAACGTACAGAAGGTGCTACTAGAATGGGAAAGCCAAAAGATATGAGCCACTTTAAGGATCTGACTGGCTCTGCCTCACAGCCTAGCTTACCTCACTTAGGCTGGACAGAGTAGGAACACAACTCTCACAGCATCCCAGTATTTATTTGTGCTAGTTAGTAGTTTAATATATCCCAGAAGACATTCTGAATAATTTCCTCCTATAAACTTGTACTCACATACCAGGCACCAAAGATTTAAGCTCTTCAGTTGCTGAGGCTGCACTATGCTGCACTTCCTTCATAAAAACATCTCCCATTAAGCTGTTATTACATATACCCAGACCTCATCAAGAGATGATGAAAATCACTTTCTTTATATAGCAGTACCTGAGAGTATTAAAGAATTTGATTTTGGTTTTGTTATTTGCTCATTACTGAAATGCGCTGCATTATTGATTTTCCGTGCATATTAATTTCCTGCTACACTGGTTCATACTCTGCTTTGCAGTAGCACTGCAGAACACTGAAAAAAACTTCATTCTAAGAAGGGAGATTTAATGTGTGACAGTTCTATCTTACAACCATTAAATTTCACTTGTTCCAAAGCATCTCCTCCTTCCATTGCGCAAATTCATCAACTGGGATTTCTGTCTTCTGTCAGGAGGCAAGAGAATGCTTACAGATGCAGTGCACTGAACAGTGTAATTTTTACTGCTGTAGGAACACATCCTGAATAAGAGCAAGGGGCAGGGGCCCTGCAGGACTTGAAAGGAATGCAAGACAAGTTCACAGATATTAGAAACAATCCAACAGGACGTGTCATTCCCTACTCCACCAGCAAAGCAGACTCTCACAAAAACTCAAGTGTTGTTTTGCTCCCCAGATGCCAGAATTACAGCAATAAGTATAAAACAGGGCCAAGCATGTACTGGCACTGAACATCTACATTCATTAACACTGAGGAGATACAGTGGGAGCTTAGGACAGGGATTCTAAGCTGTGACATTTTTAAGTATCAAGAATTTTCTGAGCTGTTAGTAACGTGGATGATATTTAACCCCTTACCAGGCACCTTGCCACATATTGCTGGAAGCCATAAAACCCCAGTCAATTAATCACATGTGTCTCCACAAACAATCCACAATAGAACAAAACTATTTTCACCCCATAACAAGACAGCCAGGAAACTGTCAGACAAAACACACCAAAGCGTACAGAGATGCAGGGACACACACATTTACTGCAATCAGACACTTACTTGATTGTCTCTTGCTGGATAGCCATGATAACCTGAAGTCAGAGGCTCGTTCTGCAAGACAAGAAAACAAAGAGTGAATGTAGGAGTTTCGAGGAATAGAAAGCAAGGAAATATAGGCCTGTCTTAACTCAGCCAAAGACAAGACCCTGCATGAAATGGGGGAAGAATGAGCTAAAGTATTCTGCCAACTTCCTTTTTTCCATGTAAGCCAATACACCTAAAATTTATTTTCAACTGCATGTGCCAAATTGAGTAGAAGGAAAAAAAAACAATCAAAGCCATAAAATAAGCATTAAACTAATCCTACTCTACCCTCTGTAAAATCAGTTATGTATAATATTGGTCCTTTTCCAAAAAATTTTTATATGCAAACACATTTATTATGATGAAAACTGAAAAAAACCAGAACATAAAATTACAGAAGCTATTGTGCACCTCGCCCAGTCTTGAAGAAATGTTTCCCTAAACATTAGCTGTAAATGTGTCATATTTTTTTCCTCCTCAAAACAATATTAATAGTTTAATATGAAGTTAAAAAGTAGTCAATGTAACTTCAAACACCCCAGTAAGCCTGCACAATATCTCAACACTCTCAACAGGAAATCAGTCCTCTAGGTCTCATTTCTTCAGCCCAGAAGGGATTCTGAGCCCACATGTTTGGTCACATATTGGCAGCTCCATCATCTTCTCTGCAGGAATATATGAACCTCCAACACTTCTGGAATTTCTCTATAAAATTCCCACACCCATCTCTATTTTAGCCGTGCACTGAGGATTAAGATAACATAATACTTCCTAAATTTTTATTTCTGTTCCTAAATTTATTTTTGGTTCCTCTCCCTCCAACACATCCCCTTTGGAATGGGGAAAGGGCACTCACATGCCTTTCTGTCTGAGCAGAGGATAAACCAAACTGGACAAAGTCTGTATCAATTCCACCCTGGTTCCCCAGTGCATTCACAAGCAACTCCCAGCAGAATGCTAGGAGGAGGAGGAGGAGGAAAGGAAAGGGCCACCCTCCACAATCACTTTCTAAGTCTATCTCCTGTTATGACTTGTGAGGAGGAACTCAAGTAAGCCCTGCACCTTCTCCAGCAGCTCCTGGGGAAGGAAAGGAGGGAGAGAGAGGCCCTGACAAAACACACCAAAACAATCTAATTGTCAAAAGCAAATACATTATGGGCATGAAGCTGACTGGAATGTACAGTCACTGTCAGAAAAGAGATTTTGTTGAATGTTTAAAGTTTTGTGCTGGGACATTTGAGTGAAAGGCCAGCTCCTACCAGAGAGAGGTCTCCTACCCTACACACAGCCACTGGCACAAATTTCACAGTTTGCACAAAATGCAATTTAACACAAGTCCTGCTGAAAAGCAAGGTGCTATTATTTCAGCGCAGAGATTAGCAATGCTATTTAAAGTTTGTATCCATCCTCCTTCTCTTCCTCTTTACCTCAAGCCTACCCAGGGGATTCTCTGTGGAAACCTGCCAGGAAACAATCACCCTCTCCTCATGCTCTCATGCTACAGTAGCATGCACAGTATGAAAGCTTCAAGGACAACAAAACTTTTAGCAGCCAATTTTTGGGGATTAACAGTAATTAATTAGGCTGGCCACTGTGTGAGCACATTCTTCTCAAATACTAGCAGCCAGAAAGCAGGTTAAGCACAAAACTCCACAAACTATTCAGAAATAGAAAGAAAAACACAGAAATTGGAAGAAGCAAATGGAGACCATCAACTACAACATCACTCAAAGTTTAAACTATGAACTTAAGTAAGAACAAACAACACCATGATGGAAATGTACAGTTAGTCTTTTTCTCCCTCAGTGTAATCACCTTATAAGCACTGTGATTGTTTATCCCACAAACTGCAGTTTACCAATGTATGTCTAAATACCATAAACATCCACCCTATATCAGGAGAGATGGTATTCTCTTGAAAGACTATTCCAGGCATGCTTTTAACAGTACTTATACACACACCTGCAAGGTTAGTATCTCAGACAAATTCCTGTGCAAGTCTCTCAATACCCTCAAAACCAGAAAGATTTCTACAAAAAGAATAAGGAATTAATGGACAACTTGCCCTTACAGATATTGAGGATATGGGCAGTGAATGCAAGCTGAAAGTTACAATAAAGAAAGAAAAATATAATTGTTATTTTCAGGATTATGTTCTTCACATAAGGGACTAATAAAGAGGGACTATCATCACAAGCCTGTGGCAGAAAAGAGACAGAACTGAACTTTGTGGGATTTCCTGAAATCACAGAACCTGGATGCCAAGAAACCACAACCAGAAACAGAACAGTTTCGAAAGTGGAAGCAAATCACAAAAGTGTGAATAGAAAGATGATTGCAGAGATCTGAGGGCAGTCCACAATATGTAAGAAGCCAGAAAGAAACAAGAAAAATTGAATGGAGGGGGAAATGCCCCACATTCCACAATCTCTACTTTGTTTTTTGAAGGACAAACTTCACAGAATGTAGACTAGTAATGTCTGAGGGATATGGTTGCATCAGGAGGTAAAAGAAGAGGTGAAAGAGTGTTACATTAGTGAGAGTTCCGAGATAGGAGAGGTTAGAAAGAGGGCAGCAGCTGGAGCACTGAGGTCACAAAAAGGCCAAAGATATCTCTTTGCCTTTCATACAGCAATGCCACCACCAAGTACTGGACTCTTTGCAAAATCCTGCTGTGCGTATCATTGCTCTAATTGAACTTAACTCTCCAAGAGAAGGCAGGAAGCGCCTAGGGAAACCGTCTCCTGCCAATAATCTCCAGTGCTGCCAATTTTACAGGTCACTAATGGTGAATCTGGGGCCTGCTGCATGATTATTCCATACGGAGTTTGCTTTTGTTGAAAACTAAACAGAGCAAGAAGTGAAAGCGTTAAACTCCTGCAACTGGAACAGCACAGTCCAGCAACATCCACACAGAAAACCCCTGCTAGTAGGCAATCTAAGGCAGCAGAGGCTGGGGATACAGCTCAATCTCCTCCTCTGACTGCACATGAACAAAACCAATCTCACCAAATGGAAGTGGGAAAGGGAGAGGGAAGGTTTGACACAGATAAGTACCCACCACAAACATAGAGGGACTCTGCCTTCTGGCAGCAGCCTGATGGGAGAGGGAATCCCCAGATAACTCCATCCCTTTCACACAGCTCCCTCCTGCCAATTACATTCTCTTTCGATGCCAACATGCAGCCAGACATTCATAAAGAAATTGAGTTAGGTAGCACTAGCCTGCAAAATCAAATCAAACTGCCACTGGGATGTTTCATTACTTTGTTTACCACTGAAAGGCATTTACCACTCAGGCACTTGCAATTTGCTTTAGAGTAGGGAGAATAAAACTGGAAGCTAATACCAGAAATCAGCTTTCTGCAATACATATTGGGATTTTATTCAAACCATATTGATGATCTCACACATGAGCTTCCACACTTCCATAGGATGGGTGACCACTGTGGCTGTACCCCAGCGACAGCCCCTGTGCAGGCCAACTGGATTTGGCAGGGTAAAAGCCACAACTCAGTCAAATCCACAAAGTCTTTACCCCCCATTTATTTCAAAGGTTTTCCCATTCTTTCATTTCCCAGCCTTCCAAACACAAGACCTTTTCTACTGGCACTTGCAATAGTAAGGTCTGCCACAAACTGCAAGTCACAGGTACTGCCTCAGGTCAGAATATAAACTCAGCACAGTCATTTGCAGATGACTGAAGCTCAAAGTAGATCCTCCTGCACATGCAGAACAGCCAGGCTTTGGAGTTTTTTGGAGTTTTGATACCTCTCAACTTGACAAATTCTAAGAGAGCTGCTGAATTAGACACATCTTAAAAACACAAGAAATTGCCAATCAACAAAGATGCCATTAAGAAGTTGTCATCTCTGCAGGTGGCACTAACTTACGAAAGGCCTCAAAAGACTGGAATAAAGTCATTCCTCTATGGAAAATGTCACAACTCGAACTCATAATGGAAGGTCTGAAAGTCCTTCTACCCTTTTCCTAAAATTAAAACTAAATTTTAGCTTGAAAATGCAATAATCCTATTTTTGGACTAACCTGACCCCAGAATCAATCAATTTCACATCACAACTTGCCATTTTGCCAGATGCAACAATCACTGAGGCCTGATCAGGAACTCTTTCCTGATAGCCAAATGAATCCAGAGTCTGCAGATTAAAACTTTGCTCATAGGAATCGTTAGCTTAGTGAGTTCATCCACACTTCCCCCAGCCAGAAAATCAATTCCTGCTGAATCCAAGCTTCAGCTTCAAGTGCTGAGTCCTTTCCATTGCAAAGATAATCTCAGAAACATGACCAAGCAATCTCTTCCCTGGATCTGCAGCATTCCTGTTTTGTGACAATGCCAGGATAAGTGGAGTGAGGTTAATGTAGTCCTTTCAAGTTCCATAACCACCTGCTGAGTTCCAAACAGCAGCAGCAAAACTCACAGGAACAGCTCATCTGCTCTGGCTGCCCCCAAGAGCTACGGCTGGTGCAGCAACCTGGTAGCTTGGAAAGAAGCAACCAGAAGGGAGAAAGCCAGAAACCCTCAGACTGCACAGAGCAATGAAAAAAAGGCAACAAGAAATTACTTGTTCCTCCCAAAAGCAAAATGGGATTTTGAAGTGATGAGATAGCACAAGCTACACATTTATCAGACTTGTACTAGACAAACAGAAGCCACTTTCTCAGAGCACAGTGAATAAGATGTTCACAATAAGAAAAAAAAAAAAGCTGAAAACACTGGCTACGAAGCTATTAATCTGAAAGTGACAGTTGCGAAAAAGTAAAGATCATGAGCCAGACAGAAATCCCAGTGCTGTTCATCACAGCCCAGTGGTTTCACCATCTTTTTTGTTTTACTTCTTCCATACAGGAAAGACAGAAACCCTGTGTTGGGGAAAGGGGGGGCCGGTGGGGGGATTGTCTTGAAAAAGGCTTTTTAGTATTTAACTGTGGCAGAGCACTGCTAAAACTGTAAATGCCTTGATCTTATTATCAGTTGCTAAGAAAATAGGCAATTCTTTATAAGATCC